CTTTTTATTTTAAAGGTTAAGATCAAAATGTCACAATTACTAGTAGCGTATGAAACAATTATAATAGAAAACCTGGTTGAGCATCAGCAGTAGTGTCTGGGGAACTGTACAAAGCCTGACATTTACAGATTGCACAGAGTTAGGAAGCTACACCCTGGGACATGCTCACACCATGTATGTACGACCTGAAGGCCTCACGCTAGGAGCATGGGTCTGGCAGTTATCTCACTGTACCTGGCGAGCTTCCAGCTATGGTGCTGTCGATGAGCATCATTAGGTCGGCTGCTGAGCTGGGATGCTTGGATCACTATCTTCACAGACTCTAGCATGAGGAACACTAGTTTTGCTGTTGGTTCACTGGCAAAGTAACACTCTGTTCTTAACACCACAGCTAAAGTGTATTTATTTGCTTTACAATCAAAGAAATAATTTTGAAGTCATATTCAGAGACGGAAGAGTAAGGTAGGAAGAGGGTTACTACAAAACTGGAGCCATGTATCTGTGCTAATAATAAAGTAAAATTTTTAACGTATTATTTTTCATACTCTGTTAAGGAGACAGAAATGTTGATTGGAAAAGAAGAAAAATACTGTGACAATAAATCGAAGTTCAAGGTGGCCAAGAGATCCAAAGAACTATTTGATTTTACCCAGCTACTCAAACTATGTCCAAGTGTTTTAAATAGGTCCCTATTTTTTAAAAATCATGGATACTGGTAAGAGGAGAGGAACATCTGTGGTCCTCAATTTGAAATCATGATTCTGCAAGCTGCTGACGAATGACCTGCTACTGATCCCCAAGATAACATACCCAAGTGGATCACTAAAGGGACAGTGCGGGAAGAAGTTGTCGTCAAGAGAAGCCAGGCCATGTTCCGACTAACCTCAAATCGAGGATGTGGCCGGCAAGTATCAGGGCTTTGGCAAGGAGGTTTCGAGAAGGGCTCTCGTGGTATTTTTTTTGAAAAAGGATGGAGAAACAGGGACTAATCATACCTTGTTTCACTGTTTCATTGCGCTTCTCTTTATTGTGCTCTACAGTTACTACATTTTTTTTACAAATTGAAGGTTTGTGGCAATCCTACATTAAATGACTATTGGGGCCATTTTCCCAGTGGCATTTGCTCACTTCCTGTCTCTGTGTCACATTTTGGTAATCTTCATAGTATTTCAAACTTTTTCATTATTATTGTAATTGTTCTGGTGACGTGTGATCAGTGATCTTTGATGTTACTATTGTCACTGTTGGTGAACTTAATAAACTTTGTGTGTGTCCTTACTACCGGACTGACCAGCCATTCCTCCATCTCTCTCCTTCTTCTCAGGACTCCCTATCCCTAAGACACAACAATACTGAAATTAGACCAATTAATAACTCTACAACGGCCTCCAAGTGTTCAAGTCAAAGGAAGAAGCTCACATCTCTCACTTTAAATCAAAAGCTGGAAATGATTAAGCTTAGTGAGGAAGGCATGTCAAAAGGGGGGATGGTGGAAAGCTAGGCCTCCTGTACCAAACAGTTTGCCAAATTGTGAAGGCAAAGGAAAGTTCTTGCAGGAAATTAGCTATCCAGGGAACACAAGAATGATAAAAAAAACTACTTATCGCATATCAGGAAAAAGTTTGAGTGGTCTGGATAGAAGATCAAACCAGCCATAACATTCCCTTAACCAAAGCCTGGTCCAGAGCATAGCTAATACAGCTGTTGACTTTATGCTGAAGCCAAAGCGCACTGACCATTCTGAATATCATAGGGTCCTTAAGAATTATGCTATATCTAGTCTGCCTGTGCCCTGTGAATGGAACAACAAAGCCTAGATGATAGCACATCTGTTTACAACATGGTTTACTGAACATTTTAAGCCCACTGTTGAGACCTATTGCTCAGAAATAAAGATTCCTTTCAAAATATTACTGCTCTTTGACAATGCACCTGGTCAACCAAGAGCTCTGATGGAGATGTGCAATGAGATTAATGTTGTTTGCATGCCTGCTAACACAGCATCCACTTTGCTGCCCATGGATCAAGGAGCTATTTCAACTTTCAAGTCTTATTATTGAAGAAATACATGTTGTAAGGTGATAGGTGCCATAGACAGTGATTCTTCTGCTAGTTCTTGAAAACCTTCTGGAAAGGATTCACCATGCTAGACGCCATTAAGAACACTTGTGATTCATAGGAAGAGGCCAAAATATTGACATTAACAGGAGTTTGGAAGAAGTTGAATCCAACCATCATGGATGACTTTGAGGAATTCAAGACCTCAGTGGAGGAAGTCACTGCAGATGTGGTAGAAATAGCAAGGGAACCACAGTTTAGAAGGGCAGCCTAAAGATTTGACTGAATTGCTGAATCTCATGATAAAACTTGAATGGATGAGGACTTGCTTCTTACTCATGAACAAAGAAAGTGGTTTCTTGAGATGAAATCTACTCCTGGTGAAGATACGGTGAAGATTGTTGAAATGACCACAAAGGATTTACATTACATAAATTTAGCTGATAAGGCAGCGGCAGAGTTTGAAAGAACTGACTCCAATTTTGAAAGAAAGTCTACCATGGCTGAAATGCTATTAAACAGCATCACATGCCACAGAGAAATCAGTCATGAGAGAAAGAGTCAGTTGACATGGCCAACTTCATTGCTGTCTTATTTTAAGAAATTGCGAGAGCCTCCCCAGCCTTCAGCAGCCTCCACCCCGATTAATCAGCTGCCACTGACATCAAGACAAGTCCCTCTACCAGCAAAAAGATCATGATGTGATGAAAGCTCAGATGATGGTTAGTATTTTTAGCAATAAATTATTTTTACATTAAGGTATGTAATTGCTTTTTTTAAGATATAATGCTACTGCACACTTAACAGTCAATAGTATACCATAAATCTAACTTTTATATGCACCGATAAACCAAAAATCTCACCTGACTCACTTTATTGCAATATTCACTTTAATGCAGTGGTATAGAACTGACCCACAATATAACCGAGGTATGCCTATAGTTTATTGAAGACAAATCTTTATGTGGCTGAGGAAGTGCACAAAACATGACTCTGTCGATCTAAAAGCATGTTTCAAGTTGCATACCAAAGGACCCTGTCCTTAGTGCTGTCCTATGCAACACTGCTAGCCTCTTTAATTGAGATCTTCTAGAGCAGAGGATGGCAATTTTTTTTTCTGTGAAGAGCCAGACGGCAAATATTTTAGGTTCTGTGTATCACATACAGTTTCAATTCTATCTTTCCCTTTGAAGAAAAAAAATTTTTTTTAATGTTATAACATTTCTTAACCTGAGGGCTGTACCAAAAATGTGGCAAGTTAGATTTCCCCAAGGGGCCACAGTTTGCTAATTCCTTTTCTAGAAGGTATCAAATCTGAGGAAGACCCAAGAAAGAGTATAGATATTGTTAGCAGAATCGTGATCCACACAGATACCACGAGCCTCATGGCACATTAGAGCTGCACGAGAACTGAAACCTAGAGATCATCTGGTCAAAAAACTCCTAATCTATTCATGAGACAAACTGGGATGGCTCTGAAAAACAGGTTGGCAGAAATATAAGGAAAAAAACACGTAGTTTCATACTTGAAATCCCAAACTCCCAATTATATGCGTAAAGGACAGGCATTTACGGCTTGATGACTGAACCAGTGAAAAACGGCACTTCAGCCAAGAGTCGGCCAAATATAGGTCAAGAGTGTGATGGGATTCCAAATTCCACTGTCCAGAGGAAGCCCCACTCGGCTGGTTCTGGAGCGTTACCCCAAGAGCCGTTGCAATAGTATGTGAAGAAGGCCAAGGAAACTGGAGGCCTTTGAGCTGGAGGACACATGTAACAGGATCTTAGAACTGCAGAGCACAGGAAAGCTACACAAGCAGCAGATGGACTGGGGTGTTGTCTGGAGGCCTTGACAGGGTGCCTGGGAGGCGGAGGAGGAGAGAAGCGCTGGTGGCAGTGGCCTCCAGAGCCTATTGCGGCTGGGACGCTGGATGGAATGTATTCATGTGTCTATTTCTCCCTGCAGGTCATAAAGCATGAAACACTTCACCAGCAGAAGGCATTGTCCACTTTTCCTTAAGCAACAGCCCACATCTCAAGGAAGAAGGCACCGCAGGAGAGGAGGAGGCACTAGGGCTGCGACCAGACAACAGCAGGTTCCCAGGCAGAGGGGCCCTGCGCTGTGCCTCACCTTTCTTCCCTCACCTTCTCTCAGTCCAGTTTCGCCCTTTGTAAACATAACACAGACTAAATCCACTTCTTTTAAATAAAACTCTTGAATTAAAGATTCATAAAATTGATCTTTATATATATAAAGATATGGAAAATATAAACAATTCTTGAAATATTAAAGGCATATAGTCCCTAAATCTTTCCTGCTTCTGGAAACAGATCCACTACTACCTTCTACAGTTCATTAAATTTCACTTATGCCATAGTTACCAAACTATGGAGAATAATTTACAGCCAAATTTTATATTCTTTATGCATGGTTCCATTTGCCCCTTTGGAAGCAGGGAAAGTATCACATTCTCTCTCTCTCTTTCTCTCCCTCCCACCTGAACAAAGTCCTGGAAATTTGGGTAACATACCTGAAACAGAGAGCTAGGAAGTGGCAAGTCTGGGTTTCACAGCCAAGCCTTTGGAGTTCTAAGCTCAAGTAGTTCAAGAGTCTTTGTTAAAGGCTACACACTTAAAAGGGTCTCACTTAGTGTGGTGTTCATTTGTAATATGGTAACAATTTTCAGCAGCACATACCACAGGGTAAATTTGATCAATTCTCATGAACAGAAAATATGTAAGAAACAGGGTGAGGATATAAAACGGCAATTACAGAGATCCTTCCTCCAGTGTGAAGCTTTTGGGTTCCTGGACCCTCCATGCTTCTATTTCAACCCACCATGAAATTACTAGAACAACTCTCTAAGCAGTAATAACCTTCACCAAATGAACGTGACTACAGAATACCAAGTTCTTCCTGGCCTGGAGCGCTTCTTACAGACCTGCGTTTGAAGCTGGGATGGTGGGTGGGCAACTGTCCTTTTCACAGGTTCCCGTCATTGAAGTTAAAGTCATTGTAGGAACTTCATGACTACCTGGAAACACATAAAGTACAATGTGTTGTAGAGACACATATGCAAATGACAAGAAATGCACGTGCAGTTACGAAGGCATATACACTAAAAGCACTATGACGCCACTTTTTAGCTGTGTTGCTAAGTCTTCTAGTAAGTTAGCCTGGAATTCTGAACACAGTGTCACCTACTGAAGCAATTTTTGTAAATAGAGGATAGATTCGGGCCAACCTGCTAAAAGCCTTTCATGGCTTTTAAAATGGCTGAGATAAATGACCACATGCAACAGTATGTCCACAGCCAAGTGCATTCTGGGTCTGGATGGGAATGACAGGAGCATGTGTCCCCATGCAGCTGGTGCCCCCGAGCTCTACGCCCGGTCAGTCCCTGGCTGAGGTAGAGACTGCAGGTGGCGGCCGTGTGGGTAGGAAGGTACAGGCCCCAGGACATGGCATAAAATACCTCAGGGAAGCCACAATCTTCTGCCAGATCCCTACTCAGGGTCTTGCTTTTCTTAGTCCCCGGGACCCATTTGCTGCTGGCTCACCACCCTTTTTCCTGGCCCAGGATAGAACAGAAAATAGTAACCTTCCTGTCTGTGTGGAAAAGGTTCTATTTTTCATTGTTTTTAGTAAAAAAAAATAAAGTGAAAATGTTTGCTCCTCTCAAATCCATTTTGCAGACAGCCATCGAGGAAAGCCCATAAGAGGAAGGGACGCGATTAAGTTCATTTCTATATACAAGGGCTGAAGAAATATTCAAAGGGCTGGTACATCGCTTGGAAGCAGAGGGTTTCGGGCAGGCAGAGAGGGAGAGAGGTGGGGTTTCCCAGTGCGGCTTGGGAGCCACTCCCTTACTTAATAAGTATTTACTCACTCCCTGCAGTCAAGGTCTTGGAGAACCGACAATCAGGGAACACAGGGCGGTACAGACATAATTATAATTGAATAAAGGAATGAAGTGCAAATAAATTAAGGCAGTGCATTAGGAGGGAGAAGGGAATTTTAAAAGAAAAAGAAAAACAGAAAGCTTTCTGAGAAGGATCCGTCTAAAGGAGACATGGGATTGACACCCAGGATGATGAGAGAGGGAGAGGAGGCCATTCCGGGCACAAACTGGGGGACAGAAGGCCCAGAGACCAGCAGAGGCACAGACACCCAGACTGAGAATCTTAACTCAAGCAGCCCACGGCCAGTGCGGGTCCCAGCCAAGGTTTTGTACCAATGACAGACAGAGTCGGAGCTGTGGTTAGGATGAATGACGTGGGCGGGCAAAGAGAGGGTGAAGGTGGGGAAGGCATGTAGGATGCGCCTGTAGTGTTCGGGTGAGGGGAAGTGAGGGTGACAGACAGGAGGGTGGCGCTGACAACGGGGAAGAGGAGACGCAAAGGAGAGACGCCGGAGCCTCCGCCTGTCAGCAGAAACTTCCCTCCAACCCCTTGGGCTTCTTTCTCCAAGTCACGGCTTCCCCTGCACACGGTCACATGGAGCCCCCCCCCTCCACAATCCACGGATTCCACTGGCCCCAGAAGGAGGGCCTGCATTCTCCTAAATTCCCAGTGCCACTCGCAGACCTCCCGTCCTCCACCCCATTGTGCTCTTGCCCTTCAGCTCCGGAACCCTTGACCTTCCTTCCCCTTTGCTCCCACCTCCTGGGTCCCTGGTTATTCCTTCACATTCACGGAAGACCTGATCGCCTCTGCACTCCAAATTCCACCTGCCAAATAGGTGGGTTACTGTCAGTTTCACTCAGCTTTGGGAGTAAATAGTGTTCAATACCTGAAAGAATGAGCTTTAGGCTTTGTACCCATAGACATAAACTATGGCATTAGAAATTAAATTTAAAATATTATGAACACAAGGGTGCTGCTTTTTTTGCCAAGGCAGGGTAGCATGTTCACTCTCAGTCTGTGAGACAAAAACTCCCAACCAGTGAAAAATTAAGAGTTTAATTTGTTAGCTGTTCTCATATGCTAGTTTTTCACAATATCTACAAGTGCTTTCTTTTATTCAACAGCTTTTTATATAAATATGTGTAAACATTTTTAGGAAAGATCTTGACATTTTAGGTCTAGCATTGCCTATTTTGTAAGAAAATGAGGTATTTCATATATTTATAGAGAAAATATTTATATTCATAACATAATGACACTAACTGCCTTTTTAAATAACAATTAAAAATATTTACTAGATTCACTAAACAACTATTGTATACATTTCAATTCAGGAATTTCAATGCTTCCATTTCAGACTCACCCTGTACTAAATAGCTCAGTATGATCCTCCCTAGTAAATAATTAAAACTTGAAGATTTTTAAGAACAGTTTAGGAATCACACATAGCTAGTAAAAGTAGAGTTTTAGAGGTACTTATATATATATATATGTATATATATATTCAGTTTCAAGTTTGGTAATTTTCAGTCTATATATATAATGTGTCTATTCCATGTTTTGATCACTTAGACTTAATAACAGCTCTAAATGCCACTTAATTATCCCATATTCTAAGAAAGATACTACAATATGTCATCCATTTAATAATTAAGCAATGTTTGTTAAAGGTAAGAAAGAATGTTATTTATAAGATACCATCAATTAAATCATACCTTTAACGGCTTGAGGAGAGAGAGAGAATCACTTTGCGGTTTCCATTCTCTACAACTTACAGGCAGCAGTGTGACTCAGAGAACCGAACAGTAAAGCACAGAACTATGACTTCTATCGAGCAAAGCAGGAGAGGAGGAGAAAAAAGAGTAACAAAGACATTTAACCAAAATGACAAAAGGTAGGAAAGGGAAAGGAAGAAACCAATGGAAAGCCTAATAAATAAAAAATGCAAAATATGATGGAATGAATAAGCCTGAATAGCCACAAGAATCAAAGTGAGAGTAAATGGATGATGTCTAACTAGGCAGACAACAAAAATAAATATCATACAGAAATTCTGAGAGCCACACACTAATGGATTGAGCCCCTTCAGGACAATATTTTGAGCATTATTTCTCTACCAAATTTCATGCTATCTGATGGTTTCCAAATAAACCATTTACCTTCAGTTATTTAAGTATAATGTGATGTACTGGGAGCAAACATGGATGGAATAATGGTTGTGAATGATGCTAGATGTGGCACTTGGGGAAGACGAGGAAAAAGGAAGAAAAGAATCCCAAAGCTATCACTCAGCACCATGACTATCTTCCCAACTAGAGAAATGCACTGTTGAAGCTTTCTTACCGTGACTGAGCTTAGGTGACATTTCTTGTATAAGGATTTTCTAATGTATCTTGACAGGTAATGTACAGCCTAAGAGTATTTCGCATTCATGAGTTCTTAGTGGACTAGAACATGTTTTCCAAGGAATGAGAGAAAACATGTCTTCCATTATTGCTTATTTATAATCCTCTTAACGAGCTCCGTCCAAGTCCTACCTGCCATCAGAGAAAGCTCATTTAGTGGCAAGAGCGGTACCTGTGGCAGGAGTCCTGTTTTTCAGCCTATCCACTTCCATGGTGAAGTCGTCCTTCAGAAAAAGGAACCCAATAATGGAAAACAGGTAGACGAGGATGAGGGCGAGGACGGCAGTTAGAATAATGGAGCGGCCGTTCCGTGTGACACTTTTTATGACATTGAGCAGAGTCTCTTCTCTGTACACCAAATCAAAAAGCTGCAGAAATAAAGAAAACAAAAACAAGAACAAATTGCAACGGAGCAAAGGTTGAATACATATAACGGTAATTGCAGATACAAATTCAGCTATTTTAGTTTATCTGTGAGAAAATGACAACCTAAACGACACCTTAAAAATGAACCGAATTACGTGTTTTCTTCTACAGCTGGAACGTGTTAGTAAACTGTTTTTCAATAAAGGTAACCCTATCAGAGCATATCATGCGCACCTATTGGTTTCATAACCAATGTACATTCAACTCTGTAAGACATGGAAATATCAGAACTTCATATTCAAATTTAGAGAAACTCTATTGTACTTAAGCAACTTAGCTACTTCTTCCTTATTTTTAGTCTTACAGATATTCTGCAATTGCTTCTGGCATACATAAACTGGGTCAAGTGAGAATGATGAATTAGGTTTATCTAAGTGATAAATAATTGACAGATTCACTAAATATATCGTGTAATCAAGGGACTAGAGGTGAAAATTGCTGGAACATTTCTGTGAGCCTGCTGCAATAGAAAAGATATGAAATTTAAAAATATTTGAGAAATGCAACTATCTTTCTTTACTAAGGGGGTATAATGAGAGCAAAACCTATTACCTTAGCATACACTTTTGGAAACAGAAGTATAAACAAATATGTAATACACAATTTGCTAATTCCCTTCCTCTAATGGGTTATGATCTATTTTGTGTTTAGTAGTAGAAAATCTGCACTAGTCAAGAATCTAGGCATGTGTTTGCTATCTGGAGGCAACACAAAGAACAATTTTATTTATTGCTATATTATTAAGTTGAGATTACACATTAGCAAGTATGCATTTTATTATCAAAAGCAGGTTAAAAGCAATAAATTAACACTTTAAAAAGGCATAAACATCTGTTTGGAAATGAAAAGTATTTTTAAAATGGGAATAATTGGAGTTTGTCCTCTGCTACCTGTGGACAGTGATTAGAATTTCTGAACTGGTTGAAATGATTAATTACCAGTGTCATGCATAATTTAGGCAATACCAGGGCCTTGTACTCATGTTTTTCTGAATTCTGAGGGTCATGCAGTTACTTTCCAAAACAATCACAGTCTTGCAAATAATCGCTGTAAATATATTACCTTGTTTGCTCAAATTAGGAAACTGGTATTTTATGATGATCATATAAAAAATGTTTAACAATTTTGCTACTTATTTATCTTCTGGAGGGAGCAGTAACCTCTAGAAATAAAATTAATTTATTGACTTTCAATAAGACAAATTAACTAATGCAAACTCAACTTCCAAATTACGGACATTCTGACTTATTTATTTAAGCATTTAGTTGACATAAAAGAGATTTCCCTTTACTTTAACTCAATAATGGCTTGAAGAAAAAAGGTCTGGTAATGGGCTCTAGGTCACTTCTGATAGTTTCTGGAAGGTTATAGCTTTCAGAAACCCATAGGATGCTTGTTAAAGACGCGTACTTCTGGCCCCACTCCCTACCCATGGAAACAGAATCTTGAGATGCAAAAGGTGTTATTGACACTGGACAGGTTAATTGTTCTTCCTGTTTATTTCTGAAAGGAAAATCTACAGTATGATTTTTATTATTTTGGAAAAAGCTTTGACATTTGTGGACATAACTGGAAAAGCATATTCATATTTTCTTAATATAAAAGTATTTAGAAAATACACTTAAATACCATTTTGGCATTAAATTTCCTTCTACTACTATGTTTAAAGTAGTAGACAATAGGTAGAAAATGGACAATATCCTTCTCACAACCAACCCAAGGAAAACTAATTATCATAGTATCATAAGAGAAATAACATTACTATTAAAAACACATCTAAATTCAGATACACCTTTATTTTGTCAAATACCTTCCCTTTGAAAACAAAGATTTACATACATCATTTCACATTTTTTATATTATCCCTTTAATAGATCATGATATTACTGTCTCTCTTACTATCCTTATCTACTTTATAGACATGAAGGTTGAAGCACAAAAAACATTACACATCACAGTCTATAAAAGTGTTGGGCATAACAGGACTTTATACATCATGGGCAGTTTTTTAAAAATTAAATTTTTCTGGTGAATCAGAGCAGAAAGGGAATTCCCTTGGGTCCCTGGAACACACAAGAAAAATCTCTATTCAATTTTTGAATAATCTGACTTAACTGCCAAGAAGATAATTTTTATCAAAACATAAGGGATAAATCCACTTATTACTCTGGTTACTTCAAGGGTTTAAGAGAAAATGTAAAATTAGCCTCTTTTCAGGCTTCTCTCCCCATGAAAGATAACAAGGAAGCAGGAAGTAATGAATTTTCCCTCATGACCCTGGCACAGGGTCAGCACAATATTTTTAGACCTTCAGCTTGTTTTCTGGGATTATTTTATTGGGCAGGACACGCCACTGCATGTCAGCTGTGGGTAGAGACATAAGTAAGTCACTCTTATGGCATCATGATGCTAATCTGGTAATGCTTCAAAACATTATCATATATTTGTATTGGCTACTCTGCTAGTTTACGGCCACAAAACAGAATATAAGCAGGAAAGAAAACTGATAACCAGGAAAAAGGAAACAACTCTAGAAGAACTCTGAAAATCCTTTTAATGACTTAGATATATGTAGGTAAGCTTAACAATGGCATATTAAATCTGAAATATAAGTTTATACTTAAATAACTCATTTTGTCTTTTTTGCTAGGTTGGCAATTTTCTCCCTCATTTTACTCAGCCATTCTAAAGATACATATAGCATTTGGTATTGTAAATAAAATACAATGATTCCAGTCCTAAGAAAATATATCCCTTTTTCATAAAGGGAAGTATGATTTGGTTGAAACCCAAAGTGCCTTCCTCTGTGAAGTCTGGATCAAGAGGTGAGGTTGTCGGTTCCTTCACAGAGAAATAAAGAATTCCACCACCTATGTGTTTCTCCAAGAAAAAGACTAAAAATAATAGCAATTCTTGATTTTCCTGGGAAATTCTAAAAATAATTTGTCCGAAATGTCAAGCCCTGCTTTAAAAAAATAAAAATCAAAGGAAAAAGAATAAGGAACAGCAACATTGTGCATTCTTTTCAGCACGATTGTCCACACAAAGAAGTACTCACCAGGAAGCTGTAGAAGAATTCATGGACAAAAAGACCCAGCATGCACACCAGGACATATGTTACGTGGTAGAGAAAGGCCATATCCAGGATGACCGCTCGGTAGCCTCGGGTGAATGTGCCACGATTTCCGACAAAACTCACCAGAAATACGATTTTATTACAAAGCTAAAGGGTGGAAAAGATTAGATTTTACTGTTTTATTTATCCTGAAACATAAATAGCAGGTCATTGACAAGGCCTATTATTCTATTATTCACAAATCTGTGGTTTTCTTTTATGCATTCTCATCTTGTAATTTTTTTCGGCACTACTTACAAATCTGCACGTAAACAGAACACATGCAAAAGTTGTATCCTTTGCAATTCCAGGAGAAGAGAAGAGGATGATTAAGAGCTCCCGCTATGCCATCTAAACCTGAATTTAAATCCTGGCTCTCCCGCTATGGTTGCATGACCTATTCTGTAGGCCTCTTTCTTTCTTCTGAACAACTGGAATAAAGGAATTCCCACTTTATGGAACTCTTCAGAGGGTTAAACAATTCATAATGCATATGAAGCACTTACTACAGTGACTCTAAATACTACTCATTATATTTCCTCTATTAAAAGTAAATATATGTAATTTTTTATTATACTGGAAATGTAACAGAAAAATATCTTCTCAGAAAATATCCAGAGATCTGTCCTTGATTTTTTTTTTTAATTCTGGACTTTCTCTACTAAATATTATTTTAACCAAGTAAGCCACTAAAAATTCTTTTTGCACTTAATTTAACTTTAAATACATAAAAATATAAATAGATAACTAGGCTAAAACAAATAGAATGCATGCATGTATTTTCTAAGCTCCATGTGTGGTAATTACTCAATAACATTTTGGACTGTTTATTATGCTTGGTACTATGGAGAGTTTTTACATTAAAACTATATTTCAAATTGCCTTTTGAGGCATTACTTTAGGATATAGACATTTACACTAACATGGTTTGGCAATAAGAATGATCTGTGCAATGAGTTCCAGAAAACACAGTTACCATGAACTGAGTGTCACCTACTGGGCTCTTAGACACTGAAGACCCACTTTCGCCTCTTAGTCATCAAGGAAAACAACAGATTTCAAAATTTCAGTTTGCTCTTCCAAATTGCTCCCTTAGTTCTTTAAATTATCTAATGGCACCATATTTGTCTTTATATGTCCAAACTGAACTTTGAGAAAGCAGGTTCCTCTCTGCAACATTGCTGTTTTTTTCAAACATATATAAAAGAAATTGCCTTATGGAATGATTTTAAGTAACACAGGAAGGAGCATAACACTTTGAAGCAGAAGTAAAATTTGAGAGGTTGGAAAAATCTTTTCCTTCAACTTTCTGAAGTCCAAATCAATACAGATGAAGTCAGATGAAGTGAGAAGTGGGTTATCATCTCACGTTGTAGAAGTAGGCAAACCAAATCAAAACATAGCAACTAAAATGTTCAAGCCTTCCGTAAATTTTCTCCATGTTAATTAACTAACTTCTCACTAATTGATGCGATCAATTCTTTCATCATGTTGTTAACATTCTGAATAATGTCAAGCAGGAAGTTTTACTTCACTAATTAATGTTTCATCATCACGTTTTTATGTTATTATTAAACATAGCTACAATATAACAGATGTCTTATGTTTAGAACCCAAGAGCAAGTTTAATATTATACAAAGTCATTATTTTTAAAACTCAGGAAATATATACAAGGCACTGATACAAGTGTGGTATTTGACAATAAACATCCATGAAAATTGTGAAAAACAGAACGTCTGGTGAAGTGATATTGAGTGTTTGCTCTAAATTGTTTTTCTACAAAAAGTGAAGTTAACAATTGGAATTATGGCTTTTAAGAAGAATGCCTAATATGTTTAAGACAAATTGTTTATATGTTTTCTGATCTCTACTTCCATAAACTGAATCATAAAAAAATTACACAGGGAAACTATCTGTAATCCCTACACAGTGAGGAAAGGTAATACAATAAATTCAAATTCTCAAAGAGATCAATGCATTTCAGTTCTCAACTAATGCAAAAGCAAGGACACATGTCTGCCTAAAAGGGCCGCTGACATTTTTGCATGAAAAAGAGATTTGCCTTCTTTGTTTTCAGGTTGAATTTTGTCTCTGAAGCTTTTAGGGCTTGATGTTGATGGATATGTTCCTGTTCTCTTGACTAAGTCTCAAAGTAGAGTGGAGTTGATATTGGTGGTGACATCCATCTATTTCTGTAGAGATTAGAAACAAGGAAATTGCCCTTCTGTTATACCAAGGAGAAATAAGTGCGAGAGTAAGTGATCTGGGCAGGAAAGAAGTTGGACTCTGGTTTTCCCTGCACCATGACCTTGAAATTGACAAACTTTTTAGGAAGCATTTCCATGAAAGTTGAAAATATTTATGGGAATGAAGAAGTTGCAAAAAATTCTCCCTTTTCATGTCATGACTCATTGTAGGTTGTCTAACCAGTCCTTCATTTGTTAACGCCATTATATAGGCAATCATTGTTTCTATGGCAAGGGTCCTTGTGGGTAACAATAAACGGAGGGTGTGGGAACTGGAAAAGGTGGTTAAAAGCCATGCTCTTCTGAGCTGGTGTTGAAAAAGGACCCTCAAATCAGCATACAAATTTCAATATAAATGACCATAACTGTCCCATAAATTTTTTTCTTTCTCCATTTATTCTTCTAAGTGCCCTTGACATATTTTTGTTGAGAATAGAGTGAACAGTGTAATGGTGGCAGGGAGGGGGTAAAAGTGGGAAACAGCATCAGTGTAAGCCTTCTGTACAGTCTTTTCAAAGTAATAATTATCCAAAGGATTTACCAACAGGTCTTCCAAAAATAAAAGCAAAAAAGCAATGTTCATTTGTTAACTAACATATAGTAAGTCATGTTCATTAATTTTAATTAAGTAAATTAATTATACAGGACAGCAATATTTTCATATATACCTCATAGCTCATTGATAAGACTTTGCAGGCCTTGTCATTGATACGACTTTGTATAGCGGAAGACACAGAAGTTGGGACATTTGGGTCAGCCTTGGCTCTACCACCAATTACTTTGGTAAATCCTCCTGGTCTCTAGGACATGTATCTAGCTCACTACAGGATGCTAGATATTCATTTCTGAAATGAAATACTTGGAAGTGAACAATCCTTAAGGTGCCTCAAAGCTCTAGAATTCTCTGTGGTGTCTTTTAAATTTTACTATTTTAGACAATCACACAAATATATAGCTGCCTTTACATTATGCTTTTCATCTTACTTGGTTTTATATCTCTGGTCAGGAATTCTATCCCCATCCTCCATAGTTTCTATGGGAATATGATCTATTTTCCAAGAATAAGTTGTAACCAAAAAAAAAAAAAAGGAAAGAAAAAATTGCCTATTTACTGAAAAATTGAATTTATCATCTTGAACTACATGTTAACTACATTACCATATTTTCAACCATCAACCTTGTTACTAAAAATGAGATGATCTGATTCAAAAATCTCCATTTCAGTGGTGTTGCATCCTTAGTAGAATAAGGCTCTGTGGTCAAAGAGTAAGGCAAAATTTTCACGTAGTCAAAATCACCTCGGAAATCTTTTAAATTGCAGTACAGACAAAGCAATACAGTAAACAATGGTGATGTAAACCAGTGTCTCTTAGTAAATTCAACACATGCTAGTTTTCTCCTAAGTATTGGAGCAGATTTCTTTTTTCTACAGCTGCATATCAGAGGTAGCTAGGAGCATTCAGTGACCACATTATATGAAAAATAGTGTGTGTGTTTGTGTGTGTTTGTATGTGTGTGTATGTATGTGTGTGTGTATAAGACAGAATAGGAATGTCTTGACTCAGAATATCTAACTGAATTTGTATATGTTAAGCGGACATCTAGTGAGGTCAGCCTTACAGATGAGCAGTAACATGAGCCCTCCCAGGAAACTCTCTACAAGTGGGTAACTAAGGGCATGGCCCTATTAAATTTGAACATTGTGGCTTATTGTTAATAGATGGCTGTCTGCTAAACACTGCTTCTCCTCTCTGCAAAATGTTGAGACCAAGTCCCAGCATCAGGAAACATTTCCACATGACAAATAACTGTGCAAAAGGCAAATAATTTATAAATGCCATTAAATTACATATTTCCAGGCACTATTAGAAAAGAAAAACACATTATAGATAAGAAACATTTAGAAGATATTAAAAGATCTCTCACAGTTATTTACTGAATTACCATTTGTTGTAAAACATGCCTAGGAATCTAAACAATAAAAATTAATGGAATGGCTAAACATTATATAACATCCATATGGCTGGAAATATTACTGTTATTAAAATAGTATTTACAGATAATTTTAATGATATAGAAATACTAAGTAATCCAAAATTTATAAAATGTGTGTATATATTTGCCAAAATAGTATGTTAATTTTCATCACCAACAACTAAAATTGCAATATAGAGGGTGGGAAGAAACCTGATTATGCTGTAAGATATGCTTTATAACAGAAAAACATTTGAATTTTTGGACAAATCTCAAATACTTAGATAACTCCAGAGAAATCAGCTGCAATCTAAACAAAATTTTGGTTTTTAGAAATAAAGACAATTAAAAGCGAAGCATGATCAAACAGCAACTCATAATACTAAGTGCTCAGAACATAGATTGAGGGTTTTTTTCCCACTTAATTCCTTTTCCCAAAATGGGACTTTCTGCATTTGCTTAGCACTGTGAAGAAAGAAACTGAGTCCAGAAACAAATAAGTCTCTGAACGAAAATACAGACACTTTTACATCATGATACAACATTTTACAATCAAATCGTTGGTAAATGGTAGACTTTATTTCTATTATATCATTAGCACTATTGTTGTTCTTTTCTAAATTTTCACTCTAATCTTCCCCACCGACCTTCTCAACAACCCAGTGAGGAAAGTCTAGGCTTCCATATCTTCATAATGAGAAGAATGAAATTCAGAGGCTTACTAATTTGCCTAAGGTCTAGAATACTGTTCCTCATTAAGGCTTAACTGTTATGTAGGTATTTTCTTTGCTTTTCCTGTTTTCTGATACCTTTTAATTTTAGCATTTAAGAGTTTCACCTATTACACAGTGCAAATTTTTAAGTATTAAGGTAGTAATTATATTAAAACCTAAGGTGTAAAACATGTCTGATTGAATGTTTTCATTTATTTTTTTACTTGTTTTCTGGCAAAGAGTGAACCATAGATCGTTTTTAATGAGTTTGTTGACAGTTAAGATAATGATTACTTGCTAGTTTTATTAATCTGCAGAATATCGAAACTATAGTTAAAACTCTTCTATTGGTGATACCAGTGTCCTAATTATCCATCCAATTTCTTTGTCCCAAATCGAAGTTGATTGTTTTCTTTGGTCATATGTCTTGAATTTGCAAATCATAATGTATCATTTGGGGGCTGTGCCAATAGATGTTTTATGCTGAGAAGGTTATTAGAATCCCTACAGATTCATATAGTTAGTAAGAAAGATCTACCTCCATGTACATTTCTTCTCACAAAGAAATTTTCGAGTATAAACTTTCCCCTATAATGAAGTCATTTCTTATGGAGGAACTATTCTCACCAAATCAGGCAGAAGTTAATCTTTTTATCCTGTCCCCTGAAGGGAAAAGAGAGATACTTCAAATGTTTTTGGTTTCCCCAATTGACATTAGTATGTTATTCCTTAGCTCTTTATACATTCTTGAAGCTTATGGATGGCAAGAACCGCATCCTTTACCTCTTGGTATTTTCAGTGTCTATTAGATAATAGAGGATGCAATAAATGCTTGTTACTTTTGGTCCAACTATCTAGCTATTAGGTCACTTTGACAAACTTAGATTTTCTCACTTGGATTGATGTCTTACTGAGAACCAGTTGCTGTTTTATGAATATTATTCACTTCTTCAAATAATTTGGTTGAATATTCAATGTATTTTTAAAAATACAGTAAGCTGGACACACTAATAGGTTTAGAAAATTTTAGATAAAATCATGATGATTCCTTAATCACCTTGGTTGGCATATTGCAGTATGAACCTATTTCTAAAACATTGGCAGTACAAGTTCAGTTCATGTAAAAATTTTTTGAATGTTTCTGTGCTGGGTATTAAGTTGGAAACAGAATTGGGAAAGAGGAAAAGAGGAGGGCAGGATTATATCTATGCCCCCAAGAAACTTAGAGAAGAGTATAATTGGCATTACACAGAATTCTTTACAGATAGAACTCTATGTATAGTATGCTTCCCTTTATTGACAATAATGGGAAAATAACTTGTAATTTGGTTGCCTGAATGTTCTAGTTAACTGGAGCTGTCACAACAACATGTCCAATTTTTTGAAGAATTACAATAGTGGTCAGAAACCAAATTGGCCATACCAGCTCAGCTTTATAATTCTCAAAACTTTGGTTGACTATTTCATCTATTCATTTTCAGTAATTATTTGCCATGGACTTTATGTGCCAGGCACCATAAATATATAAGAATACAAAGATAACCTTTCACTCATGCATTGAACCACTCATTAGCTAAATATTTGTTGAGTACCAATAATGTTGTAGACACAGAACGATCGATCATTATGCCTAAGAACGGGGAGACAATATAGGGAGAGACCAGAATACAGGCCACTATGTTAGAAACCACGGACAAGATACAGAAGAGGCTTTAGGTATTCCACAAACATATTAGCAATACCTATTTGCTTTCCCGGACAACGTTTCTTTCATCACCTTGATGATTTACCTTTTCTTAATATCCCTTTATAGATATGTCGTGCAGAAAGTTGTCTAGTCCCTTTAAAATTTTATCTCTTGGGTACCTTATTGCTATTTGGTCTAGTACTCTGGCTTACTTACTCTAAACTTTTCTAAGTCAAGTTTTGAAATGTTCTCCCTCATACTAATACATTAAAATTTAGTGAAAAGAATATTAACCTCATCGATGCCTTCCACCAGTTTATAGGTGTTAAAAAAGAGCCAATTTCATATTTTTTCATACAGCAAGTCTTTTTTTCGGTCATTTTATAAAAGGTACTCACTTCTAAAAATTCTATTGAATATAATTTAGTCTTTCTTGGATGATTTCAAATCCACTTTAGGATGTTAATAGTGGTTCAGCCATTTTTGTCAATAACTCTAAGTATAGGATGCAGAAGGTATTAAAGTTGGATTGGATTAAATTGATTACAGAGCTGGGCCATGCCCCAAATGCTAACTTCTTAAAATATATCATGTTTTTACTTGTCATTTTTTCTTTCTCTCAAAATTAAGAATATGCAGTTAAACTCCAGTGAATTTGGACTCCTCAGTTAGAATTTATTGCATATACACAAACTAAAGCATAGAGTTACATTTTTACAGTTAGTATACTTTTAAGCGATCTATTACAGTACAAAAGCCAAGGAAAGTACTTACATTAGCTGCACCAAGAAGTATTAATGTAGGCCCAAGACCTATTGTATATATTGATCTGAGCATTACTGACACAAGAAATGGCCGAATACCCACAGGCTTGGAGAAGAAAAACAGCATAGATGTACAAATTGCAACTGTTATCCAAAGGAGAACTGAGAACAGTGGGGAAAGTGTACCTGAAAAACAGGGAAAAAGGTTACTTTTTCTAAGAACAAAACTAGGATATGTTCAACTATTTGTCACTCTATATAATAGAGTAAATCAAGCTATAAGACACTGAATTTCAAAGCAACTCACTCTACATTACATATTTAGATGAAATGCCTTTGAACACATTACTCACCACTATATTTCCAGAGACTTTCTGATTTCAAGATGCTTAATACTCACTAGTTAATGCTCCTCCCATTAAGTCTGAAAATCATTAATCTTTCTCTTCTACAGGAGTTACATACCAAATACTTCTGATAGATGTATCTCACTTGGGAACCTTAATTCAAAATTTAAGACTAATGACCATTAAACATATAGCTAAACTGCGTGAAATCAGATATTTTTTCATTGAAATCATTACTTGTCTTGCTCTATTACTATGAAATTTGTACATTAGAGACTCCTCTCAAGAATTAAGAATACAGAACAGCCAATCTTTTAATAAAACAGAAGCAAGCTTTAACTGTTAAACCACAAGCGTGTTTATATGTGTATAACTGTACATACATATGTATGGATGTGTGTACTGGAAGGTCAATTCAGGTTCTAAAAAAAAAATGTTGAGCTATTTTAAATCAACAGAAAACAGAAGTTCCAAATGTCTAAAAACTGAACCCCATTACAAGTGAAATTTCTTTAGAAACTGCCCAAAAGGGGTGTAAAAATATATTTCCGTTTTTAAAAAGTCAATCTATGGACATTTGCACTGACATGTGGATTGAAGGAATCCCCCTCTGAAGGTCATGTGATGCTGAGTTTGCAGAAGAGAACTAAGGGACAACCGTCTTGGGCTGATGCAATTAGCTCTGGGGCCTCAAACATGCGTCAACAGGCTGATGAAGTCAGAAAACAACATGGAGGTCTTCCACTAGTTCTGTCTTTTGGCCGCACTTTTTTATTATTCATACAATTCACTTCTGAGTGCAAAACACCATAAAGGTGTGCAGAGCTTTTTTATTATCACTGTATTTTGTATTATCATTCAAAACCCTGGATTCTCTGGACTCCTTCAATGAGTTCTGTAAAAGCCTTTACTTTATATAATGCTACTAGAGCCAAAGTTGGAAGATCCTATCAGACATCAAAAAAAAAAGGACACACACATAAAAGCCAAGTAGCAAACATTAGTTTAGCCATTTTCTTTTTTCCAACCATTGTTCTGATGATGTTGTCTCAAGTAAGCAGTGATAAGAAAAGGTTGGGAAGAGGGATTTGATCTGCCCCCTCACAATGTTGACGATCTGATAATCAAGTACTTTGGGGCTGGGAAAAGAAAAGCGGTAAATGGCTCTGGGTATTACCTTCAATTCCCGTTTTCTGGAAATGCTAACAACATGGGTACCCAACTCATGCTCATTATGACACTGGATTGTCAGCAGTCTAAATCTATCAAAACATGGCCTGACTACCTCTCCTCACTTCAAAGAT